TTGAAGGGAAAATTTCGTACTTAAGAGATTAAGAGTGGCCCATTTCAAAACTAAGAAATAATAAGAATCAGATATTATTAAATTTTATTTATGAAACTATTAATTAAAAAATATTTTATTAATTAAATATATTAAGGTCACAAATCCATACGATTTGGTCACAAATGATTTCTCTGTCATATCAAAGAATTTATATGTCATAAATTATCTCGGTCACAGATAAAAAATTAGATACGTCACAATTTATTTATCGATCACAAAATCACAAATTTTATAAATTACAATTTATTTAACGTTCACAAATTATCAAATGAATTGGTCACAAGTAATTTTTCAATTACAACTTAGTAAATTGTGAGTCACAATCATATTTTTTAAGTCACGTATTATTTATTGATTACAAATTCACCAATTTATTAGTCACAATCAATCAAATAATTGGTCACATATTATTTATTGATCACATATTAATCAATTTATGATTACAATCAACCAAATAATTGGTCACAAACACTCCCCATTCCCAACCCAATCCCACCTCACCACCACCAATGATTTAGTTATGTCGTCACCGTCACCGTCACCACTCCACAACCACAACCCCTTCTAAAAAAATCCCCAAATATGCCGCATGGCACCACCGCCACCACCACCGCTACCTCCAGATTTAACAAAGTCACCGCTACCACCTGATCCAACGACGCCACCTTCTGATCCATCTCACTAGATCCACCATCGATCCAACAAATCCACCTCCACCAGATCCGCCACCACTATTAGATCCACCATCATTTTCACCAACAAAAACTACAGTCGAAACATGTAAACCACCGCCACCACCATTCACTGTGCGAAGTGCATCGGCGCGTGACTTCTCTACGCATCGACAATGATACTACTACGGGCAGTGTTGTAGTAGAGAAGTCTCGTCGAGTTTGCGACTTGCCCTACGAGCTGAGCTGCAGCAAAGAAGCTTCGTCAATGTTGCGAGCGGCTTTTGCTTACAACACTACGTAGAGAAGCCCCATCGGCGGTGGTGTAAGCCTCGTGCAGTGCTCTTCATGAGTCTAGGCGTCTGGCGGCGACGATGAGGCAAAGAGAAGAAGAGGTAGAGTAGAGAGACAATTGATTGAAAAGGATGAAGGAAATGAATATTAGGGTTTGGGTTTTGGGTATACAATTAATTGAATTTTATAATATTAT